CAAACACGAGAAAGCCTGGGTGCGTAATGACTAATTATAAAACCACTTTTTGTAAAAGGTCTCCCAGCTACAGGCAATACTTAATAACTTGTCAAACACTATAAATTCATATACTAGTCAATACTAGCAGCTTGTGGACACATGCAGTGGATGGACAGCTCACACTGCTCAAATGTCACTGCTTTATCGCATGATAAAAAGTCTTGCCACCTCAATACATTTTGTTGTTGTAGATAATCTGTGCAGAGTGGTTTCAGTTGAACATTTGACACTCTGAGCATGCATGCTAAGGAGAATAAATTTTAATCAGTACACTAGTTGCACAACTAAAAACATACACATACAGACTAATACCTTGTCACGTCACATACATAACATATGCCTTACAGATTTCACAATTACTGGAATCATAACGATTTGTAGCTATATAATGATTGCTACATAAGTTATTATTTGAAATGCAGTATATATCCTTAAACAGGTATCACATCCCCGAATTACATACAGTATATTCAGAAAAGAGAATAATAACGATAATAATAAAAAGTCCAATAAAATCAATATTTTTTATTATTAAATAGTTCATAAAAATCATATAAAAAGCATAACGATATTATGTCCAAAGGACAATTGCACCATTATACAAGAAAACACCTTACCACCTGATAATTCCTGTCCCAAGAGTCCTCCAGGACCGTCACATGAGAGAACACAATCTAAGAAGTTAAATGCTTCTTTCACGCTTGCAAGAAGGTTGGCAAGCAAGAACTGCAAAGACTTTGTATGGAATTGGGCCCATTGAACTGCTAAAGTAGCCATGGTCATGAGGCCAAGGATGAACATGATATGTCGGAAACAACTTGCCTAGTGTAATATTTACTTTGAACCCTTTTCTTCTGTCAGCAAAATCCTTTGTTGCAACATGTCTATCATATAACAGAAAGGAGATTAGCTGAGAGGTAATCATGTTGGATTTCTCCATGCTATGGACACGCTCAGGTGGGTTAGAAGGTCTGATACCCTACCAAGGTTTTTTAGAACAATTCTGATTCCGCAAAACACAGAAAATCATCCAAGTATGGGACAATTGACCCTCCTTGGATTCTGGGAATCATCACCTCTGGGATAATTTTTGCTAAAATTCACGGAGCCCAAAGAGCAGAGCCTGATACTAAAAATTATGAACCCTCTTCTCGTTCCCAATGGTAAACCTGATTTATGGGGACATGAAGTAACCAAAAAGGCTGATGGTGTTAACAGATTCCTGATTGTGTAGATGCTTTCCATCTTGAATTTTCTGTTCCCAATAGTCCTGTTGAGCGACTTCAGATTCAGAATCATTCCTTATTCTCCTAAAAGCTTTTGTCTCAGAAATATGAGTAACAACTACAACACCTTTGGGGAGGTGGTACTGGGATGATCACTTGTTGGTGAATTAGGTTGCTAATAGCCTCCTTCATGGTTCTTTTTTTTTCCTCCTGAGAAAGCTGTGTCATGAGAAATTTTGATGGAGCATTTGTGATGAATCACAGTTTGTATCCTGACCTGATAATCTGTAGGATGAAGGGGTTCTCTCATACCACTGCCCATTTAGGGAAGAACCCCTTCTGGTCAGGATCTAGGTATAGGATCATCTAAAACTCTTTAGAAATGGTATTGTACTGTTTTAGCAGAAACCACTACTTGTATTTGCTCATTTACAAAAATGGCTTTCAATAATGCTTCAGTTTCCTCTGCGGGAACATGTACTCGGGGTCTTTTCATTTAACAAACTACTTTCTCTCTTCCCATTCTGAATCAGAGGAGACCAACACTTTTGCCAACTGGGAATTAAGTCTGTGAAGGCTGCTTAAAGTCCTCTAATACTGATCTGAATGATTTAAAAAAATGGAAGACATCTGATCACTAATACTCCCCATATAATCTTTAAGTAAGGGGGGCACCTCCTTCACAACTAGGTTATGAATGCATTTATAACAATGATTTATTCCAGGAAGAGGATAACTTAGAAGCACATTCAGCACACTTTATCTTGGCCTTTGCAGTAAATTCCAGTTTCCCTGATGTCTCGGCTTGGAAGGAAAATGGAACACAGGCCATAGTACCACCAGAATACAAAGTGCACAGTACCTCCACCAAGAGGGATACACATCAGCAGCAGTGCAGCTCAAACACAACTTTGCTAGAAAGTAACATCCATCCAGCGAATAGTGGACTGATGCCTGGCTCTGCAGATCTGCCTGGGTCCTCCAACATCTTTCAGTCATAGAGAGAAGGCAGGAAAGTGTGGTTGACCTGCCCCCAATCCTAACCTGCTATGCAGGAATGCTGACCCTCTGCCACCCTGGGGGTTGTATACTTTGAATGCAGTGTGGGTCTTTAGGGATGGGAGAGCTGGTATGCAGCAGTGTGCATTGCCAAAAACAGATGTAGGTACTCACATTACTTACAGTTTTGGCTTTGCAGGTACTGGTGGTGTAGGAGAGCCAGTGTGGTCACATCCAGGCACAAGACATAGCAGGAAGGGGAGTGTGACAGGCGCAACACAGATCAAAGGAACACTTGGGATGAGCCAAACCCTCACCACTGCTTATCCCGGGAACACAAGCTGCCGCAACACAGATGGCACTGACCACCAGGCCCTGCACTTCACATGAACACCTTCTCTGCCAAAAAATGGGAACCCCTACACCAGATGAGGGCCCCCCTAGTGCAGGCCATGAAGTTAGTGGTTGCAAAAAGTGAGGAAGAGTTGTAGCCCAGGGTAACAAAGGCCACACATTCTCCTAGGGATATTTAACACAGAGCTCCACTCATGTCTGCAAGTGATGCAGGAGACACACAAACTAAGGGACTGGAGCTGTAAGAAGCTTTTACCTCTCTGTGCTTGTGTTTCCTGTAGATGAGCAGAGCCCCTCTCTCTCTCTCTCATGTGATCATCATGAAGGATGACTAGGGAAAGCCATGTTTCACCCATGTTTTTATTGCTGTCTATGTCCCCACTGGGGAGAGTCAACCTCTCTATTTGTAGTGATGACCAGTGTCACTGAAAAAGAAAGTCAGAGGAAATTGAAAAATTTGTCTCCAGAACAAAAGGTAAGGGGATATCTTCTAATCGGACACCTGTTCCAGGGAGAGCGGTCTGTCTTTGGGAGATTTCCCCTCACTTCTTTTTATATCTCTGGGGCAGGAATTAAAAGGAAATTTCCCCACAGGTACATAGACCGCAAATAAATAAATAATAACCTTATGAGGTTAAAAACTCTTCCCCTTATCCAAAACTTAAAAAAAAAAGTTTTTCCATTACATACACTTTAGTTTGTTTACATGTAATAAGCAGATGATGTCATGATCGCTCTTGCTTATATCTATTGAGTTTCAAGGAAGGAACTGCCTCCCAAAATGATAATGCGTTTGTAGAGCTTTTGACTGGTCTCTATAAAAGGCTCCGCATTTGAAAGTTTTTTATTCAATAGGATTTTATTAGTTTTTAATTGGTTACAGAAAATTAAAGAAAAGATAAGAAAACATGAGTAAATCATCATTTGAAATTTACAAGTCTTCCTGGATGGCGAGAACACTCCAGTGGTGTGTCGTGCGATACTGCTTTCTTTCAAATATACTGCTTGGTTATTAATGTTTGATGTTTACCAAGTGATTTTATATCAAAGTAGATCCTATGGATATTTCTTGTTATTTGACTTTCTTTCTGATGACGCAGATGCAAAAGATTTTTTGTGAAATGTCTTGAATATAAACAAGAACAACCTGTGTGCAGACTTAAATGGGTGAAAACAATTATATTTTTACAAATGTCCTTTGGGTGTAACATTGTCACATTTTTCTACAACTTTATGAACAATATTGAATAATAAAAGGACTTTTTGGTATGAAAAAGTTAAATTACTGTTCTAAATACCTATGTTCTCATGACCGACTTACAATGAACGTTAACTTTAGACACAGAAGTATACTTGCAGAAAGGACACAGTAGCACATTTGTATGTGCCCTTCGAGAGAAGGGAGGTCATTTGAATAACGGCCTTCATTTCGATCTACTCTCTTTTGCCAGAATTAGTCTAAACATTCAAAGATCTACAGCATAGCATACACAGGGGTTAAAATATGTGTAATCATGTTGTACACTGCAGCATTACTGACCTGAGACTCTAACATTGAGTAGCTTGTCCTTTCCAAAGAAATACGTCTTTCTTCTTTTTCCCTTTCCTCTTTGGTCTGTTGAAGAGAAACGGCCAGGCTAAATTATCACTGCTATCACTTATCCCACTCCTTTGTACAGCCAGAAAAAAATTAATTACTCATCTCATTAGCTGCAGGGTCAGAATATGTGGGAAACTGCAGAAATGTACTTGGGTATTTAACCTTGTGAAAACACAGAGTACTCAGAATGAACAGACACACATTAAGGCTTCAAGATGTTATGGAACAATGACTGATTAACGACTTCAAGTTATAACCTATTCTAGATTTCTCAGATTTTGTCTTTGAATGGTAAAGTATAGGTCACAGACGTGCTTTCAAACAAATAAAAGTATATTTAGTGTATAGATAAAATGTATTGTGAACATACATACATACATACATACACAAAACCCAAAAAAGTTGGAACGCTGTGTAAAATCTATATAAAAACAGAATGCAATGATTTGCAAATCTTATAAACCCATATTTTATTCACAATAGAAAAAAGAAAACATCAAATGTTTAAACTGAGCAAAATGTACCATTTTAAGAAGAAAAGAAAAAAGGGTAATTATGAAATTGATGGCAGCAATATGTCTCCAAAATGTTGGGACAGGACCATGCTTACCACGATATAGCATTTTGTTTCTTTTTTTAACAACACTCTATAAACATCTGGGACCTGAGGAGACCAGTTCCTGGAGTAATGGGAATGGAATGTTGTCCCATTGTTGCCTGATATTGGATTCTTTTTTTTTCATTCTTTATTTAAACCGCTCACAGAAACAGATGAGCCAACAGTACAACACAAACCAATACAAGAGTATTTCCAGTACAAACCAAAATAACAAGTAATACAGTCAACTCTCTAAAGAAAGTCATATCTCAATAAAGACATGATCAAGCATTAAATAGGAAAAAGTGCTGCATCCATTTTGCAATCTCATTTTCTATTTTCCAGAAGATGAGAAAAGGACGTAATGAAGAGCAGACGAAAGAGGGAATAAGAAATAGCGGATGAGGGTGAAAAGAGTTGTGAAGAGAAGAACCGAGATAGAAGGAAAAGGGAGGGAGGAAGAGGGAGAAAGGAGCAAATATCAAATCAGAAATAAAAGTAAAACATGGTAGGAAAACACTTAAATTGGGAGAAATTAAAATAAGAAAATGGGATGATAATGAGAACAACTAAAACACACATGTCCATAAATAAAATAAATTAACCTTGAAGACCGAAAAGGACCATAGCAGACCTAGGGTTCACTCAAGAATCTTCAGACGGAAACTCTTCCAATTTCAGGACAGCACAAAATTCAGAAGAGAAAGAGAATTGTATCCAATAGAACCAGATCTTGCAAAATGTGTCCTCCCGATGCTTCAGTGAAGCTATCAGGCACTCCATCTGTTCAATCTCTCGGATCCTACTGTACCATAATGGCAGCAAGGGAAAGGTGGAGCTCTTCCAGAGAGCCGGAATGCACACATGAATTATCACCAATTTCCTGTATTTGTTTCCCAATTGGTGTAAGAGGTAAGCTGCTGCATCATCCCTCAAATCTATCCCCGTAAGTCTCTTGGTGAGTGCCCTTACTCCATCCCAAAAGGCCCTCAGTCTAGGGCAGTGGTGGCAAACCTTGGCACTCCAGCTGTTTTGGAACTACAAGTCCCATGAGGCATTGCAAGGCCCTGACAGCCACATCAGAGGCAGATGCATGTTGGGATTTGTAGTTTTGGCACAGCTGGAGTGCCAAGGTTCGCCACCACTGGTCTAGGGCAAGACCAGTAGATGTGCAGAAGGGTACCCCTCCCCTCTCTGCACCTCCAGCATCTATTCGAAACCTGAGAGCAGATCTTGTGTAGAACAGAGCGAACACTATAACATATCGTAAGAAGTTTAAAGTGTGCTTTCTGCGTCCTACAGGCAATTGAGGCCCAATGAGAAAAAAAACAAGATATAATTCCTCTGCTCCAGAGTAAATGTCACTTGGAGATCCCATTCCCACTTAATTAGGGAGGATGGTACAAAAGAGTCCTCAGGTTGTATAATGAGCCGATAAAATAAATATAGAGTGTGTCGTAAGGGCTTCTCTTTCTCCATATAATCACTCAAAATGAGTTTGTGGCATCAGAGATGACCTCCTAGGAAGGAGTCATGTTAAAAAATGGCCTGATATAACATTCTAACTGCTCAACAGTCCTAGGTCGTCTTTGTTGTATTTTTAATTTCAAGATACGCCAAATATTTTCAAGTTGGTGAAAGGTCTGGACTGCAGGTAGGTCAGTGAAGTGCCAGGGCTCTTGTACTACGAAGCCAAGCTGTTGCCATAGATACAGTATGCAGTTTAGCATTGTCCTGCTGAAATATGCAAGGCCTTCCCTGAAAAAGATGTTGTCCGAATGGGAGCATATGCTGCTTTAAAACCTGGATATATCTTTCAGCATTGATGGTGCCTTTCCAGATGTGGAAGCTGCCCGAATGTGCACCAATGCACCCCCATACCATCAGAGATGCAGGATTTTTAACAGAGTGCTAATAACAAGCTGGAAGGTCCCTCTCCTCTTTAGTCCGGAGGACATGTACCCATGGTTGCCAAAAATAATGTAAAATTTTGATTTGTCTGACCACAGATCAATTTTCCACTTTGCGACAGACCATTTAAATGTGCTTTGCCTCAGAGAAGACGGTAGCGTTTCTGAATCATGTTCAGATATGACTTCCTCTTTGCATGATAGAGCTTTAACTTGCATTTTTGGACAGCACAACAAACTGTGTTCAAAGACAGCAATTTTTGGAAGTATTCCTGAGCCCATGCAGTGATGTCCACCAACGATTAATGCCTGTTTTAATGCAGTGCTGTGTAATAGCCGAAGATCATGGGCATCCAATATTGTGCTTTGGCCGAGAAGCTGAAGAAATCTCTGTGCGCACAGCACAGAGATTTCTTCAGCTTCTCGGATATTATGTACTGTAGATGTATTTAAAGTCTTTGCAATTTTAAATTGTGAAACATTCTTCTAAAATTGTTCAATATTTAGGCGCAGCTTTTCACAGATTGGTGAACCTCTGCCAATTTTAATTGTGAGAAACACTGACTCTGTAAGATGCTCTTTTCATACCCAATCAAATTACTGACGTGCTGCCAATTAGCATAAATAGTTGTAAAAAAAAAAAAAAAAGTTCTTCCAGCTTGTTGTTTGTACCACTTACATTGCCAGCTTTTTGTTGCCTTGTCCCAATGTTTTTTGAGAAGTGTTACTGCCATCAATTTAAAAAAAGTGCTTACTTTTTTTTTTAAATGGTACATTTTCTACGTTTAAACATTTGATATCATTGCATTGTTTTTATATAGATTTTACACTTTTATACACTTTACGTTTTCGAACTAAAGCACTTTAAAGCAGGACATATAAACATGATGTATTCGATTTAATAAATAAATAATATACTTTTGTTTTAAATAAAGATGAATGCAATATAATAAATGCCCCCATTTATATGCTGTATCCACTGACCTCTTCAGGCACTAGTGGTTCAATCATAGGAGCTTCTTCTTGTCTGGCAGCAAGTCTCACAGGAGATGTAGAGAGCCGTTTCTCCCACTCACTAGCAACTGTAGGGTCCGTTGATGTTTCCAAGAAGGTTCTCTTCAGCTCACTGATGTTAGTCTGATGTTTCAGAAATTCCTCTTGATTTTTATCGTACTCCTGGATGGAAATACAAAAAAAGCAATTGCTGAAACAACTTTGCCACTAAAAACCCTTGTTGCTACAATAACAAGCAACCTACGCAATATAAAATACACCTAAAAAGATGTATCCCACAATGGCTTTTATTTAGGACTTTTAGCAATACAAAGCTAATATGAGCAATCTACAGAGAATTGTTCTGTCCGATGTTATAAAAGATCCAGTATCTGCCTATTTAGTCAAGGGCAGCAAATTTAAACCTGAACATGAGGTTTTGAAAAAAAACCTACAATGATTTTCAAGCATGCTTGTAAATCTCTAGGTACAGCACCAAGGGTCTTTACAGTCTATACCACTAGTTTGTATTCCCCTACACAATATATAGATCACTAGTGATGTAAACTGGTAGCCTTGACTGGTAAATGTGCATAAGAGAACAATGTCCGGCCAAGTAGCTGTTTGTATTTGTAGTTGCTTGACATTGTAGCCACTAAAGGGTAACAACAATAAACAACAATATTATTATTTTTTTTAAATGGACAGGTTAGTATCAGGCTGACTAAGTAGATCTAGTTGTCACTATATCAAAAAAATCAAAACAATCTGGTGAAGAGTGAGAATTCAAGGGGATTGACCACTGTGACGTGTTGAAAAGTGAACATTAATAATAATGTTAAAATACATAACTAAGTCTTCCAAGTACAAAAATAGAATACAACTAAAACACCTCTATGATAAAATACATAAATAAAATCAGGGAACACTGAAAGTCCACTCAGTTCACTAAGAGGCAGGGTCACTCAGTCCATGCTAAAAAAATAAAACACACAAGTGCATGCAGTGGTATGTACCAATACCAACCTCTAACATAAGATTACTATGTTTGACATATACATTTTCACCCTGTATTCGCTTAATGAGACTATTCTGAAAAAGTGAAGAGAGGGAACATTAAGATACAAACAAAATGTTGGACAATGATGACTTTTGCACTGTTCCAGATACACCAGATGGGCACTTTGCAATACAAAAAACGAACCGATTTCCACGTAATATTACTTATTTACCTGAGTCTTTACATCTGTATCTTCTTCTTGATCCGACTGGAAGCATTACAAAATATCAAATATACAAGTATTTTAATGTATTATAAAGCTCTCCACATCAAAATAGTCAATGATTATTTAATACTGGCTCAGCAAGTATTTTTTTACTTTACAAAACAGCCAAATGACCTGAAACACTTTGCACTATATAGGCAAAAGAGCTGATATTGTTTTGACTGACTGAATTTGTGAATATATTTCCATGTGTGCATGACTCGTATGAGCTTAAATAAGCAATATTAACATCTATATGGGCCACCAGCTTTTATTTTCAAAAATAGTGTTCCCATGCTACTACAACCCATAAATATGTGGCTGAGTTAAAAAATAAATAATAATAATAATAGAAGTCCCCTCTTCTGTGCATGTTATAGTTGCCAAACGCATGTTATAGTTGCCAAAAGTAAAGTTGCCAAAAATAGAGGCAGTGATAGAAAGCCCAATTTAAGATAATATTGGTATTTAATTTTTTTTAACAGAATGGGAAAAGGTTATTGCCATGTATATAAAGCTGCCTGAGAGATTTTTCCCAACTGCCTGTCCTGGTGACAAGGTGTCAGTGCTGACTGATAACACCCAAAGCGGCACTTAAGGGGGTATGTAGAACCAGTATCATCAGTCCCTGTTCTGTGAAGAAGCTCACAATCCCCTACCACATGGCTGCACACCATCCCAATTTTGGTTTGAAGTCTATTATGCTAGGTTTCTGAACTGTAGGACAACACTAGAACACCTAGAGGAAACTCACAAAAGCACGGTGAAACATTTCTCCAAAGTGAATTTAGATAAGAAAAAACATTTTTTTTCAGAGAAATGGGGAGAAGAAAGAACTGACAGTCCTTAAAGTTAATAAGACTTCTCAGCAAAAGACTTCCCAAATCTAACCCCCCAGTGAACTAATTAAAAATTACTGCCAAAATTGTCATTTTGAGGGACCTGTAAAAAAAACACCTCATAGACATCAGCCTTGATATTAAGGCTGGGTTCACACCTGGGCGTACGGAATATGCGCATTTGCTGCGCGTTTTTACTGCGATTTGCGGTAAAAGAAACGCGCGACAAACGCACGTTTCTGAGGGCTGTCTGTATCCTAATGGATACGCGCCCCAAAGAAGCTCCTGTACTTCTTTGGGCGTAGGGCGTTTTTCAGTGGGAACCATGCCTAAGCCTACTTGTCCAAGTAAGGGTGCACAGTTATAGCCACTGAATTTTATGTTGATCACCTGTCAACCCGCCATTATACACAAAGATCAATGATTATGCGCAGGCAGTTTGTTTATACACCAATTAAATGATAACTATGTAAAGTCCATCAAACTGATAAATTATCCCACAGTGCCAATCCTGTTCCTCAAATATAATTTGCTCTGATGGTTTTTAATGCTGTCAGACTTCCTGTTCCAGTGACACCTGTTTCCCTCACTACTTGTCCTGGGGTCAAAGAGGAGGCAAGGGAACCCCCTCCTTCCCCAAGCTGTCTCTGTGAATGCAAAAAAACTGAAGCTCTTGCTTTTAGTGACCGTTAAGAACAGTCAGAGCTTCAATGTTAAATGCATGCACCTAGAGGACAAAGTGCCAAATTATTCTAAGATAGGGTGACACAGACAACATGTTTGCTCTGATGGTTGGAGCAGATAAATTATAATGGATATCTGCTTTGATTGTTTGGGTAGTGTGCATATCAGCAACTCTTCCAGCTGTAGAAACTTTGAAAAAACATGTAATTAATTTTATTTAGTGACCTAAACATCCCTGCTATTAGAAACTTTAATAACAATTTTCTCTAGACTTCTTTAGCATAAATATATTCGCCACAAGTAAAAATTGGTAGCTTCCACAATAGTAATTAACTAACTCCTTAACTTTACCTACTTGAACACTTAAAGTAGCCATTCACAACTTGAATTTTGGCTGATTAAGCAGGGCTGATTCAAGCTGTGGGTGGCCCTGTTGACACCAACCAGGTGACAAGCTTAAAACATTTAAAGGAGCCAAGTGGAAAATTGTCGGCTGAACAGTCACTTCATGCAATTGCATGCAGTGACTGCTCGGGATTCAGATAGCAATGGGTGGAGCCTGTCTGAAAAAAATAGATGTCAGTGCAGATTCCATCATCCATGCTGTATTGCTTGAATTGAGTAATCTTTTGTATTTTTCTCATTTATGCATACAGGGCTTTCCTTAATCGGTAGCCCAAAATAAGTCCTTAAAATGTTTCCTCCCCCTCGGCCCTAAAACAATTTTCACCCTAAAACCCCAAACATTGGAAGGCAATTTATATTGGCACTGCATATATCTGTCTATTTTTTATGGTCAAGACTACAGAAAGAAAAAAAACAAAACTTTTTTTCAGAAAGAATTGAAATATTGCATACTAATATGTTGTTTTTGGTTTACCAGCCAGCAGGTAAACCTCTAGTCTACTTTTAAGTAAGGCATTGTATCATTCTCGGTTATGATGAAAGTAGCAAATTGTTCAGAGAGCTCAATAAGTTATGACAGCAGTGTCTCCTCCCCTGACGGTAACTTACTATGCTTACTATGTCGCTTCTTTGCTAACCCACAATTCTTTGGAAATTCTTTGTCATGCATGGAATGTTGATTTTTAAAACAGATATTGTTTGCATGTATAAAACTTAAAAGGTGTAACAAAATAAAAATAGAACTGACCCAAAACCATTACAGTTTGCCTTTAAGCTAACACCTAAATTGAGCACTGTCCCTTCTCCAAACTTAGCCCTTAACCTTTCTTTTAATTGTAACATTCTCACACCTTTAACCTAACACCTGAAGTAAGGCCTTTACACTTTCTCTGTTCTAACACCAAGCCCTAACACCAATTAACCTAATTCTGATTACTCGCTTTGTCTAAAGTTGAGAACATTAAGCATGTGGTGCCAGCATCCTGGCACTAGGATAATCTGTTTTGATGTTTTAGATGCATAATCATTTTATAAGCTTTCTTTCACTTTACAGGTGTTATTTATCTAAGTACAGTACACAGTGGTTGTGCTTCATTTATCGAACACAGCACAGTGGACGTGCATGACTTGTCTTGTGCCAACATCTGTATGCAAAATCGAATTCATTCTTAGCTAAACAGTTTACATTGTAGGTTTGCAAGATGTTGGGATTTGCAACTTAGTTTACTTGACTCTGCCCATGGGGTGTGCTTGCACTATCAGCCAGGAGGCACACATCAGGTACATTGGTCTTCTGATACCTACATATGTGTGTGGTAAATATGATAAAACATTTGCAAGACACTAAAAAAAAAAAAAAAGTATTTCTGATAAATTAACAATGAAAAATGAGAACAGTGTCCTTTTTCAGTTTTGTGTACTTTTATTTCCATCTGTAGATTTTGTGAATCATTATAAACAATGAGATGAATATATGAATGTATTAAGTACAGTACTGCAAGCACAGTACTGCAAGCATTGTACACAGAGTACTCAAATCACACCCAATGAAATACATTTTGAGAGTGGTCTGTATTTTTTACACACCTCCGTGGCAGTTGTTTCACCATCAGCTGCTGTATCCGTCTGTTCACTGTCAGTCTATATTAATTTTACACGATACAGATTCCAAAACGCAAGCGGGAACAAAGAATAAACCCATGTTGTTAGAAAATCACAATTTAACCTCATAACTATAGCCTCTTGTAGTAACAAAAGCAATAAAGCAAACATGAGAAAAGCAAACCACCACAAACAGAACAGATTCTGAGGAATACTCAAGGCATATATTTTCAAAAGTTCAGAAGTAGTTTCTGTAATAGTTTTTTCTGTATAAAAACTATGCCTATAGTTATCAGTGTTTACTTTATTAAGAAATGTCTAAAGGTTTAGCTGTAATATATACATATGTATATTCCCCATATATTTTGAATCTGGTCTTCCGTTATGATAATTTTTTATATTATTTTGTAATTCAATATTTAGATAAACTACTATAACAGCCTCTTTACTTTCAGCTCCTCATTTATAATTGTATTGTCTAGTTGCCTGATTTGTCTGCATTACGAAACAGGCAAAACAAAAAATTGTTATGTTGTTAATTTCTATATCAGTTAAAATGAACATTGAATTACTGCAATTTACAATTATTGTAGATATTATTTCAATTAAATGTTATAAATGCTTTAAGAAGCAAATAAAAGGGATATTTTAGGCTTTTCTATACTGAAATGACATGTCAATTCCACTTGAATGCATTTTTAAGATTTAACTTCTGAGTTTAGTGCGACTTTAAACAGCAACAGAATGCTGAAATATTTCATTTAAGTACCCTATTAACAAAAATGTAGCTAATTTGTGCAACACACGACCTGTAGATCCTCAAATCATCTCTGAATTAGTGCAGACACTGGAGGGTGGCTACTTCTGTTCCCCATGGTCCCTGTGTGTGTTGTAAAGTAGCCACCACTCCAAGTTCACTCCCGTGATGGACTACAATGTCTATACAATACAAATTAGAAAACAAAATGTGAGATTATGAGACCATGGGGAACAAAAGTAAGCTTCCTCCAGGAGGAACGACAGTGTCAGCAGGAATTTAGATATGAAATGATATGATGATCTAACAGCTGAGTGATACACAAATAAGATACATTTTGTTAATAGTTAAGGTACTTTAATGCATTAACTCCTGAGTTTAGTGTCACTTTAAGTAGAATTTCATGCAGTCTTCACTATTTACTAGACTACAATGATAAGATACTCCCACAAGAATTCCCAATACAGCGCGACTATTGTGAGTGAGCCAAATTATGGTTTTACGCTCCCCAAATAGATCCATAATCCAGAATAAACAAATCATTTGGGGAGTCCAGCTGCAAGAATATGACACAACCTTTTGGGAGGGGTAGAAACAGCAAGTACTGGAGCAACCAATGGAATCTCTGAAAGATATTTAAAAGCTGTGAATTGTTCATCTCACTGGTGCCCGTCAAAAATATTGTTTTGGGTGCAGTTAGCCTTTTAAAAGAACTTATTAGTTACTCACAATGTGGGCAACTATTTTGTGAGCTTAATCATTATGCAACATTTGTTTTATGCACAACATCTTAGTGATCTTATATGTTGCATTTTCTTGTATAATAAATTACCGGGGTAGGTAACTTGGCACTCCAGCTTTGTCAATACTACAAATCTCATGAAGCATTGCAAGTTTCTGACAAGCCATATGCATGGCTTCCAGAGGCATGATAGGATTCACAGTTTCACCACAGGTGGAGTGCCACAATTGCCTACACCTTATTAGCTCATACAATGGCTGCCTGCATATTGTGCAGATGGCTGTAGACCATTCTGCTGTTCAAGTTTTTATCTTCTTTTTTTATTATTTCAGAACAAGCTAGACATGGCTCAACATGCACACACTACTACCCTAGGACTCCAAAATGACTTGCACAACACTTCTGGGTTGGACAATCTGTATAGCCAATGTAATGCAGACATGTCAGACACAGAACATGCATCATGTGATAAACAATGGGTAAAAAGGATCAGGCACAAGCTATGACTCTCAGGAAAACATGTTTAACTTTCTAAAATTGTGTATGCAGAAGCACTGACATTACTTCCTGAAGGTCCTTTCATACTTGATTATAAGGTACATAGAAACATGTCTCTTCTTTTATGACTTGCGTAGGCTTTTAAAGACAGGAGCATGACACTGCTATTGCTTTGCTTTTATGGCTGCGTGTTATACTTTTCTATAATACAAATTGCAGGCTGACACAATCCTTTATCGTAGGGGTATTATCTGCATTAGGTTCTGCATACTATCTGAAATACGCAACCCAGGTATTAAAAAAATCCTGAATTGTGCTAATACTGTTCATTTTGTTTGTATTAATATCAAGTTAAAGCAGTCAAGTAAAGAAAAAACAAAAATCACAAAAGAAAATGCATTTTTCATATGTTGTGCCTAACCCTTGTGACCTAAGGACAAAACGTCCAAATATTAGCAAGCAGACAAAATGAGGCTCTGAAAGTTGGACCAGTATGGTAGCATTCTAGCACATCATCTGAACTGTCACTCAGGTCATTGTCAATTGAGGCACTCAAGGAGACCGCCTTGGGCTCCAGGTAGCAGAGGCACATAGCCAAAGGGAAAGATAGCGTGAGGGCGTATGGGACAGAGAAAGAGGCTGACAGCAGAAAGAAAAAGATGAAGAGGAAGCATGGGACAAGAGATGGGGATTGGATTGGAAGATAATGCTGTAAATTTTCAGGCAGGAAGGTGGATTCAGAAACGTTAGGGAAAGAAAGGTAGCCATCATCATCCAGCAGAGAAGGGAATGAGTCTGGAAGATGCAAGGAGAAAGAAAACAGTGTCCCCCCTTTGCCAGCTTGTTGCTTATAGCTTATACCCATCTCATCTTCATCAGGGTATAATTTCCCTTTTTGTTCAGAGTCCCACTCAGGCTCACTAGACACTTGAGGCACATCTGACCCTGGATCCCATGATTTATGAGAGTTCTCCTTACATCTTCTACGTAAACGGCTTGAAGATGAGGGGGAACTAGAGCATGACAGAGGAGGGGAATGAAATGGCTCAGTTGAACAACAAGATGGCTGGAGGCAGAGAGCAGCAAACAAAATGTAAGAGCAAGAGGACAAAAAAAAACTGATTAGTTAAATGGTATTCTGCAGTCGTTATATAAAAGCATAACAATCAAGTTTTGTAACTGAAGTTTTTAATAATAAATAACTAAATGATTCACATCAGCAATGCATTGTTCATGCAAGATCATGCATTTATTGCTATGTGTAGAAGATCAACTGGATTCCAGAAAAGATTCAAGCCATATTAAACAAGAACGCCAGTCTAAATTTTAACAAAAATATTTCTACAGTTTATAATGGCAGCACTGGGTAGCTCTCTAATAATTACTAATTTTTACACTGTACTGAAGCTAGGAGAGCCAACAATATGTAAACTAGCTGATCATCTAGTTGTGTGTACCCCTACATGCTTTAAAGAGACACTTGCCAGTGCTTGTTTGTGGCCCCTGCCCCCATCACAGCTGATGACCTAAAACTTCTGGGTATGGGGGAGCATAAGACCTCCTGCAATGTGAAAGTGCTCAGGTTTACCAACACTCACAATACTTGTGGAGTGCGGTTACCACTCCAAAACCAATTGACAGTAGGAATTTTTTTGGCTGGATGTGGTGGAGGCAGGAGCGGCACAGGAACTAGGTGAGTTTTAGAGATTTGGGGACCTTTTACAAAAACACTAATTATGCCCTGAATGGGCAAGGTGACAATGTCTCTTAAAGACCACGGAGAGTCTGTGGAAGCCATGCTGGGTTTGTGCCCAATCCTACTAGAGTGGACAGGTATGATATCCTAGGAAGGGGGGTCTTCTTCATACAGATTTAAGCATTTTATAAATCTTATATTATTCATGTTTATGAAAATAAACAGGAGTTGTGATAATTTTAAAAATGTAAATAGTACTTACTGGAGTTCTTCTTTAATCACAATATTCAAAACATTTAATTTGAGGTTTAGGGCACATGTTTAATAGTTTAACATAGATGGAATATTTAGATTTGTTACAAGAAAATTAAAACGCTGATAATCCCTAACTTGCCAAAGGGGAACAAAGTAGATGGCTGCTTTTACAACTGACGGCCAGGCTGTTCTTACAGTCAAAGCTGCTATACTTCCTGAAGCTTACTTGCCACCTGCTGCACATATCTGCTAGAAAGTGAGGTAATTTTAGTGTCATCATAGTGAGGAATTTTAGTGTCTGCTGCAGGTACTTTCTTTCTAGCCATTACAACTTTGTTGATGATCTGCGCATATACAGGTGAAACTCGAATAATTAGAATATCGTGCAAAAGTAATTGCAGTAAGTGCTGCAAAAGGGGCCCAATCCAAGTACTGAGTACATATGCATGCTTGTACTTTTCAGAGGTCCGATATTGTTCTATGTACAATCCTTGTTTTATTGATTGCATGTAATAATCTACTTTTTTGAGGTTGTGGATTTGGGGTTCTTGGGGTTTTCATGAGCTGTAAGCCATAATCATCACAATTATGACAAATCACGGCTTGAATTATCTTGCTTTGCATGTAATGAGTCTATCTCATATATTAGTTTCACCTTTTAAGTTGCATTAGTGAAATAAATGAACTTTGCACGATATTCTAATTATTCGAGTTTCCCCTGTAAGTGCCTACATAATACCTGCAGCAATTTTTCTTCCTGGTGGCCAGGTCTCTTTAACGTGTAATTCTACTTTTGCAGCAAAATTAAGATAACACTTATTTTAGATTTGTTACATGTTCCTGTTCACATTGTAGAACTTAAAAAATATTTATTAGTCCTGCTTACCCTTTTCTAAAAATTTGGAAGTTTTCGCCTATTGTGTATGTTATGTTAGGGAGAGGCCTGTGGAGTTAATGTTTCCCATATCTAACCCTATCTGTACTGTGCTGGCAGATCTCATCACTTTTAAATTCGATTTCAACACTGTCTGTTCTAGCAAAGGGTTTGTGTTCTAAATGAAAGGAAACTGAGTCCATCTTCACTATGTCCCCCTCCACTTTCAATTTTAAAGTGTTCAGAATAGCTGGCAGTCTTCCCAAAGGCTTTCTCTTTAGAAAACAGCTAGAATGGTGAAACATATTTTTTATTATTATTTGTAGGTTTGCTGAATGGGAACACATTACAAACATATAGTGGTGGTATCTCAAATTTGACTGCAAAAGAGAAACTACACTTTAAAATAGAAGTGTACCTAAAACATGTTTTAAATATAGATGAGTTATAACCCCTCACAGATTTTTTTGCGATCATATTTCCCATTGTGAAAATTTCCCCTCACTTTCAATATTCAGAATTGTTCATACCCCCTATTTAAGAGGCCTTACCTCACTTTCTGTTACAGTGACATGACAGCAAAAGAGAGGAAATCTCCCCAACGGGAACACACACAGAAACCGAAACCCGACTGCAATTCATATACATATAAATACATATAGTACAACAAATTACACTTTCAAGAAAATGGGTTCCTTTGCATATCAGCCCTGCAAAGTATTTTGATGCACCTGCACACTGGGGAAAATTCATGAAAACTGGAGCAGACAGTTTTCTTATGGCAACCAATCCACTTCTTTCTTCAGTTTGTTCAGTTAAGCTTTGAAAATGAAACAGAGAAGCTAATTGGTTGCCATGGGCAACTGCTCCAGATTCAGTTTGCTCCAAGTTTATGAATTCCCCCCATTGTCTGTAAACCAGGAATACTGTTTTGTACCATTACAAAACAATGATACCGTTTACATTCCTTTGGTTACATGTAGTATACTGTGAGTGACAACATCCAAATGCTTGCACACATTAGTATTTGTGCACATTGCATAGAGTAGTGGTACGAATCCTCCTTGGACAGCTTATCACTACACACAAAACACAATTCTAGAATGCATACCTATTTTGTGCATATTGACTTTTCAAAACATGAAACCAATATAGAAAACTGAGAAAAACATTTATTACAGCACAAACTGGAAATTATGGAATTTACCATTGGCTTTAGTATAATACAAATTTATTATATATTGTGGCAGTGCGTGGCAATGCCACTGTGTTATCTCCATTCCTGTGTCCAGAAATTAAGTGTCCAGTGCATGCTGATGGCACAGGTGTGCACAGCCTTTACAATAAAGCTGTTGGGCAGGGTTCAAGGCTCCACCTGGGAGACAGGAAATCTCCACCCAGGAGTCAGAGTGGAGTCCAGTGCAGCAGGGTGCTGCGGATTGGAAAAACTCCAGTGTGCAGGTAAGCACACAACTGTGACTGTCTGGAGGTACGGACAGTGGGCTGAGGCCGGAACAGCAGTGCTGCAAATGCAAAGCCAGGAGGCTCGATGGGCAGGTCCTGCTATGAGATGCTAAAGAACCCCTGCAGGGGTAATTTCTTTGTTTTGTGAACTTTGCTTTAATAAGAGTGGGCAAGGAAACCCCTGAATGAAGATTACAGCGAGTGGATCCGTCCTTAATGCGCTACTATTTGGAGCGAATTCCCACAATATATATATACTGTATATATATTATCCTTTTGTAAGTTAATTGTCTGGGTTCTCATCCAAGGTATAGAGGTTCTCACAGGTCTTGCAGGAGAAAAGTCAAAGCAACAACATTTTACGGTCATCATTAAAATGCTGATGCTTGACATATCTTCGCTGCAAGACCCATGAGTGCATCTATTCCTATGTTGGATTTATAGAATATAGAGTATTTGTTTAAGCAAACCTTGTACATTTGTATCACAAGAGGTGAAAGACAATTCTTGTATTGGGAAAAAAAAACTGTAAAATGAAATTACATTCTATAATTTCCATTTTGTGTCACAGCACGCTATAGTAACTTGCATCACAAAAATCACTACACATAGATTTCAAGGGGCCATTTATAAGACTAGCACAGTAACTGCTTTTTTGCTTTGCCCAAGTTTGCCGCAAAAACTTGGTTGGTTTTTACCAATTTATAAGCGTGTGGCATGAAGTTTCTACTTTAAAGTGAAGTGTAATACAATGAATAAAAACAGGCTGACCAGAAAACACTTCATAATATGTTCCTTTATTAAAAAGAACTGGGTAAGGGGTGGTATAACCTCTCAGCTCAAAGATGGGTATGTTTATAAATTAGTAAAAATCTACAACATGCATTTTTTTCATCTATTTTGTAATATGGAGAAAATAAGTAGAGACGTTGCCCACAGCCGCTTTATAAAAAGGCAAAACTGCCAGAATTCAAATTCTCCAAGAAAACATAATTACAACTCGTCAGTTTCAAAGTTTTATAAATAGGCCCCTCAATCACATACATATTTGTGAGCAAACAGATTTTTTTTAAAGCTTAACAACTGTCGGACTAAAATTATAATACGGATCATGTTTATAATTACTAGAAGGATGGCTGTATTATAGATCCTACGCTTGAAATAAGATAGGTGGATCCACATCGGTGCTTAGTATCCAGATCAGTTTCGGTGGCCTGGAATGACACCCTTAACTACCTTTAGAGAATGCCCATTATCAAAAAAGAAAAGAAGAGTATTGGTTACACTTTCATAATGAATTACCTACAGTTGACTCAATTACTTAGTTTAGAAGTAGTGAGCCATTAGGATAACAATTGAACCCTGGGCTCTTATTGGATCTTACACTGGTGTTATATGCCAGACCCAAATAAGGGCAGCACATGGCTTTCATTTCCATTGCTCTGCATTATTTAAAGCATATCTAAAGTCAAATTTTTTTTTCTATTTTGGATTGAGTTAGAAATGGTTAAAACTAGGGATGTCCCGATACCACTTTTTCAAGACCAAGTACAAGTACTGTCCCTCATGTACTTGCCGATACTAATTACCGATACTTTTTCTTAAAGGGACATGTGACATTTTTTCTAAAACAATACAGACTAATGATTTTAGGGCAGTTTCTCACCAGGGCTGCGTGTATTGGAGGTGACAGGTTCTCTTTAAGGTGACATTAGGGGTCTTTTAGACCTCTAGTGTCACCTTTCCACTTCACTGGATTCACTGAATGTAAATACAGCAGGCAGTGGCTGGGAGCAATAGCCAGCCTGCTATTGGATATTTTAAATTGCAATGGCCAATAGCAGGCTGGCTATTGTACCCACCCACTGCCTGCTGTCAATCAGCAAAGGAGGGAACTGAAGACAAAGTTCCCTATCAGGTCCTCTCTGCTGATTGACAGCAGGCAATGGACGGGTACAATAGCCAGCCTGCTATTGGCTATTGCAATTTAAAATATCCAATAGCAGGCTGGCTATTGTTACAAGTGTCCATTCCTTTTTCCACTTGATGAAACTGTTTGCTTTTGGTGGTATATGTCAGTGTCAGCTGTCCATGCTCCTTATGTGTTTAATAATGCCCTCACCAGACATACACAAAAGTTTTCCCTCTCAATGAAAGAAGAGAACGTCCATTATGTGTGAAGGAAAGATTTACAGCTTCTCTCCTCTCCTCCCCCGTGAGCACACTGAACGGACATTCTCTTCTTTCATTGAGAGTGAAAACTGCTGTGTACGTCGGGTGAATGCATTACACATAAGGCGCACAGACATCTCAAACATTGTGATATATAGCCAAAAGCAAAGTTTCATCAAGTTGAAAAAGAGGGGACACGTAAGGACGGAGGAGGAGCAGCAGTAGCAGCAGCAAATGTACAGGGGGGGCAGTGGGGGATTTCACAGTCAGTCTTTTCTCTCTTCTCGTGCTGGCTACAGAGGTCTGTGTAAGGGACACAGACTGCTGCAGCCAGCACCAGCAGGGAGAAGAGACACTTCACAGAACACTTACCGCCCACCACGCTGTCACATTTCCGTCCGGAGAGGTCAGAGCGGAGAGGAAGCCTCTGTTTGGTGGAAAGGTATTCCAGGGGAGGGGCTATGGGGTCAATGGCCGAAGCCCTTGAAAAAAATTTAAAGGGTCGGTATCTGCTCTATGCATCGGGGCATTTTCAGGAGTACAAGTACTCCTGAAAATGCCATGTATCGGCCCCGATACCGGTACTAGTATCGGTATCGGGACATCCCTAGTTAAAACATTAAATATTTGCCATCTGTATCTGACTGGGGAGGACTGACTTCACTTTGTTTTTTAGACAACAGGAAGGAAAAGGGAAATCAGTTATCACTAGAACAAATCTACACATTGGAAGATCCTCACCCCTTAATTCTTGCGGCAATGACAATTCAAAAGTTTGGATTTCCCCTCAGTTTCAGTGACAATGGCTACCAGGTCAAAACGAAAGGGTAAATTTGCCCAGCAGGGAGTCAAGAGCGGCAGCAACAGAACCCTGATAAAAGTTTCTAACCTTTCCTACTCTACCACTAAATCCCAAACGTTAGTTGAAGTATTAGGACAGGTAAATAGATAGTCAAAGGTTTTGACCAGACCTCAGGTAAAAAGTGCCAATAGTTGATTTAGTGGTAACCACATCTCTCTTCCTTACACGGTGTTTGTCAGATAAGAGGCCATAGGTACAATATGTGGTTCCTCACATCTGCCTGGAATCCTCCTTACTACTATTTGGAGGTTTTAGGTATGTATGATTTTATACACAGATCATGTTAGAATCACATTAGAGAGTTGTGTGGAATTATCTGTGCAGAAAAGGTGGTTGACAATAGAAAACAAAATGTAAAAAAAAGTTGCAGATGGTTGGAAAAAGCTGGTTAATAGCATAACAGCAGTAGCACTGGTTGGTGAGCGCACTGGTTGGTGAGCGCACTGGCATGCCTGTGATTCAAAGCCACATTGACAGGTATTTATATACATGCAGATCATCAGGTTGTGTAGAAGACATTACCCTATTTTGTGCCAAAAAATTATCTACTCAAGATACTGAACAGCCAGGATAAAAGATAATATACTGTAGCTTGAAGGTCGCATGAACATATGCAAGTTGTTTTTATGTGATCACTAGCTTTATCCTAGAAAGCACAACCATTACCTTTATGGTTTATTCCCTGCATAAAAGCAACAGTCCCTGCAGAACAATTTGCTTAGCCAAAAAAAAATATTTTACCTATTCAATATACAATGATTTTCATGGACCTTAATACTTTGCAGTACTTCTGCACCTGCCGCCCGCTTCCACTAATCTCTATGGGTGTCCAGACCAAGACCCCCACTTTTGTTAGCTCTGCTGAGCAACTGTAAGGCTACTGGGGCTCATTAAAACGGTTTGCCCTTCCACCTTCACGACCATTCTGCCTGAAAAACCCACAGGGAGATGTCCCCAGCCAATAAGTAGCGCCAACATAAGCAAATAAGTTTTCCTCTTAAAGTGGCAATCATGTTTAAAATATGTTTTTCTAAAACCACAATGGTTATAAATTCCGTGGGTAAAATTAATGTGAACTACAATTTAGGGCTACAACCAACTAATTGATTATTCAATAATAATCGATTATGAGAATAGTTGACATTGATTAGTTGGTAGGAGGGCACCGCAAGCAGTGGGTGGTGGCTACAATTTGAAATGGTCAATAGCAGGCTGGCTATTGCAACAGACCACTACCTGCTGTATTTACAAGCAGCTGCTGTCTGTGGAATCTTGCCACTGCCAGCTGTCATTCCCTGGCTGAAGCTATTCAAGCTCCATGTGCTTACAATAAAATTATTCAAAGAAAATTATAAAAGGTGGGGGGAAAAAAAAAAGTAATTTACAGTTTTGGCCTGACAAATTCTGCTGTGGGAGGTTTGTTGCAGTGACATTCTTTTCAATGGTACCCCAAACGCGCCTCCTACCCACAGTGTGATCGCTCACGCTGGAATGCATAGTACCACAATGGTGTGCAGTGCGATTGCAAAAAATTGTGCATGCAGTTTTATTCTGAAGAAAACTATGTTTGTAGCACTCCAGTTGTACATTTTATTTTAAATTAAGGATGGTATTTATTTAAATTTTTTTATCCCATTGAGAAAATAAATCGACCAACTAATTGATTATGAAAATAATCATAAGGTGCAGCCCTTCTACAATTCATCCTTGATAAACCCATCATTACTATGCATTTTCTTGAACGCTTCGGTCAACTATAAATATTTAGGTTACTGAGATTGAAAAAGAGACTTAGGGTATGAGCTGATTGTTATATTAAAAACTAGTGTTTTTAATAATAAATATATAATTATACTGAAACAAGTTTCAGAGTTTCTCACAAATATGGTACATTTTAAAGGGATAGCACACTGCAGTCTTTACATTTCATATACAAACTTTCAGTCACCAATGAATTATACAAAAACAGCACTAAATGAAAGTTGAACAATGACAAAATACTGAAAAAGGACATAAACTTTTTTATATGCCCATATTGCACAAGGTATATATACAAATCATTTGATACTTTCCCATGCAAGCTATAAAGACTTCATGAGAGTCCTTTCCAGACCTAATACAAGATATATCAATTTCTCAGTGAGGTTATACACATTACTGGATACTAAATCTTGTAACGCGTGTGGGTTGTCCTATACCACTTACAAAGCAATGAGGACATTTAAAAAATATGGGGTTAAAGTCCCTTTAAAATGGTGTATGCACAAGCATGTCAACACACATTCTCAACAGTACAATACAGCAATTCAATGTGACTGCTCAGTTGAAAGAAAATGGTATTTACCTTTGTATCATGGCGAATTGTGGTCACGGTAGTGGTAATTTGTATTTTCTTCTTTTCTTCCTCCTCATCTTTCTCTTCCTCCACCTTTTTTTCTGGGGTTACCGTTGTGATCAAATTGGTCTGAGAGACACCCTTTGCTGTGATGTATGGGCCAGTGCCCACCTCTGTGGCAGACACAGAATCCTTCATGTACATGTCATGGTTTTCATTCACTGATGCTAAAAGCAAACATGATATTTGGGAAAAAGTAAAAAGTATGGGATGGGCTGTTAAGAGCAACACAAAAGGACTGATAATGCAGTTTGAGAAACAGATGAGAAAGCAACAAAGCATTGACAAATCAAATCATTGACATCATCATTACTGTCTGATGAGTGATCTATTCAGCAGTAATCACAATTCTTTTTAAAAGTGATCTAAGCAATGTTAAATTAACAAATGGAGGAGCGTGTCCACATTGTAGAGTATATGTATGCTGTATTTTAACAAAGGTACAGTACCTTGTTACATTATGCTGGTGAATGGTATTCTGGCTTATTTAATAAGACAACGCAATAAGTCATGGTGTGCAGGTACCCATAATGAGCATTGAGAGTTCCTATTTTATCCATTATTAAATATACATACTATTTCACCTGGCAAAAGGATTTCAGCCAACATCCAGGAAGACTACTCTAGCACTTCTTGATTCAGTTTTACTATTTCCTGAATCAGCCTCCCTGCTCATTTGATAGAGATGATGATTCAATGTTCAATTAACAATCTAGAGACAGAAGCTGCATTGCTGAAGAAAATGGGGTATCACCTTCTTGGCAATGCAGTGCAGTATGGCAGAGTCGTGTAAATCAATAAATCAGGGCCCCCCTTACCATCTTGTCTTAAGTTGTTACATAGTCAAGTTGAAAATAAGACACAAGTCCATCGAGTTCAACCTATAGAAACCTGTCCCTAATAGAAAATGAATCAGCAGTGTGATAATGTTAAATGTCCAATGATATGATTGGAAGTGCAAATGTGAATGGGAAGCAGTGGGGTGGCACCCTGCTCCATTGTACTGTACAATGTGGCATAGGTGTTTGAATTTCAAGATTGGCTGAACAGACTTACAAATCCATTGGTAAGTAAAAGTTTGCATACAGTATGTATATTTAGAGATTGGCCACAACAGATATAGGTAAACCAGAGAAGACTTCCTAGGACAGCTGATGCCTGAGACACGACCTTTATGATACTCACTAAATTTCTGACAACATTGTCAGGATATATCAACAGTAACCGCTACGGAGATAAAATGTTACCATTCCCAGATTGCCCTGTTCAGCAATGGCACAAGAAGCAAGTGAAAGTGACAACAAGAGCCAAAGACTTCCTCCTGCCTCTACAGGATGCCACCTGAAATACACTGTATGGTCAAAACAATGTTGACAACCCTCCAAGCTATTATGTTCAGGTGTTTCCAGTGAAGGGTACTCGTAATACTACAGCATACAGAGTAATTTTAGACACTTGTGTCCTTTGAACCTGGTGGCAACAGTTTGTGGAAGGCCCTACAAGCCTCTAGCATTTCCCTGTGTACAAAGCCAGCTCTATAAAGACATAAAAAGCTTGGAGTGGAGGAACTTAAGGGGCCTATACAGAGCCCTGACCAAAACCTATAGGATCAATTGTGAGCCAGGTCTACACAGCCTACATCTGTACCTAAGTTCACAAATTCTCTTTTGGCAGAATGGGCACAAATTCCCACAAAACACACTACAAAATCTCATAAGAAGCCTTCTCAGACGAGTGGAGGCTGTTATAGCCACAACCGGGGGAGCCAATCCCACATTATTGCCCATTGTTTTGGAATGGGATGTGCAACAACCTGATATAGGTGTGATAGTCAGGTGTCCACAAACCATTCACCTTTAGGCCTGGTTCACACCTGGGTGTTTTACATTGCGTTCCTACGCTCTTAAAACGCTCAACATGTGAAAACCAATGATTGCCTATGGACATGGTTCCCACCTGGGCGTTTTACAGCGTGTAGGAACACGCTGCAAAACGCCCTACGCCCAAAGAAGTACAGGAGCTTCTTTCGGGCGTATTTGCCACACCTATCCATTGGGATACAGCCAGGTAGCCCTCGGAAACGCGAGTTTGTCTCGCGTTTTCTACCGCGAATCGCAAACGCGCATATTCGATACGTCTATTTGTGAACCCAGCCTTAAGTGTAGATGCTTATGTCACATTTCACATATATGTCATGAAATCCATGAAAACTGAGGTGATCTAAAATATACCCATTTCCCCAGCTCCATTCATCCTACATGAGGAATGGAAGCTACTGCAGAGCTATATACCACTGCTTAACTTGATCTTTCCTACCCATGACATAGCTTTACAGTTTTCCCATTGACATCAACTCTGTCTACTCAAAAGTTGTTTCTACATAAAAGTGAAAATTCATATTACTTTTTAGCACATCCTCTGCAAAATTAACTTGTAACATTTTGCAAACAAACTTTTTAACATTTTGCAGAGGTACAAAACCAAATATTACAGTCTCCGAACTGCTATATAAAAGTGCTAATTTTATTTTGCACTTTCCTATTGCTAGATGATAATTTCATACATTATACATCTTATGCTATACCAGTTGGGCATAAGAATGTTTAGAAAGTTCATGATCAATTTCACGGGGCCAGTTTTACTGAACAGATACGCGTTTTCTTCTTCTGTGGGAACAATCCTTTGTTTTTCAGATTGTAGCTATCCTCATTATTATACAGGTTTGCTCTTAATTATCATAAATAAAATGACTTATTGAAAGACTAATGGTGCCCGAATTTTAAGTAACAAAAATGGAAAAAAAAAAAAACGAGCACAAGGGCATTCATATGACCAGAAGCAGGTTGCTAGGCAACAACTTCCTATGCACATGCAGAGAAAGATATACCAAAATCACAGCAGGATAACAACAATGACTAGCATTAGGCTCATACAAGGAAGGTGTCACCACCAGGCTTACAAGCTTTTCTCTCCTTTGGTTTTCAGCTATTTTCACAACTGAAATTATAGCTCATCGATGACAGCCACCTTTGCAACAGCACAAGAACTATCTTGTTTAGGCAAAAGATCGACACAATTATGTTAAAAGCATGTTAAAGGACAACTATCCATTACTTACAAAATGATTTATGTAAAAGTGTTTTGTAAAAATACTGATGGATAAATATTACAGGAGCTTCAGCACAGAGAATTTTTATAAGAAAGTTGTAAATGAATTACCACCAGACAGCTAACTTCCTGTGCAGTAATCAGATAAAGGTACAGCCACTGGGTGTTTTTAAGCCTCTACTAGCAGCTTCCATCCAACAAGGCATAGATACAGTACATAATACATATGTAGCATCTTATTATTTACAGCTATTACAGATACAGTACATAAAGCTATAATTTAAGTTTGTATAAATGGAGTTTACTGACATGCAGCATTTTAAAGGATCTGCAATCCAGTGCTTATGAATTAGATCACATAAAGCAGTAGTTATCTGCATCCACTGTTGCTTTTGACATGCATTGCGTTTTTGTAAACACAATATGCTCTGTTCTGGTGGATTTCAACAGCTTTTATTGCTTTGTACCAGGCAACGTCCGGGAGGTGGGGGATCCATGCATCTAACCTAGAGTAAATAATTAGCAATGTGTCCTCTTTCTGCACGTTGTGGCTGAGTAGGTCTAAACCAGGACAAAAATAAAAATGCTCCAATGGTACAATAGAATTCTCCGATATTTTGTTCTAAATAGAATGTATTATCAGCATGGTTTGAAGGGCTGGGCACATACTGATAAGTAAAAGTGTTATGTGAATATACAGTATTTAGTGATTTTAACAGGACCTTGTTTTAAAATAGTACCCTTTTCCAGCAGTAATCAAAATGTAGGAACTGCCATCGCTGACCTCCTTAAAAATTTAAATGTCCTGGCTGTTATGCTAAGCCACTGACTGAATACTTTAAACCCTTGAACAGCAACAAGTATGCAGATTTGTAATTTCAAAAGGCGTTATTTGCATACTTGTCCTGGGTCAGCAACTCTTAAGCACTGAAAGTGTGACTCTTTTAGGTTGACCTTAATGGACTTTTGCCTTTTTTCAACCTGACTAACTATGTAAAGCCAGAATACTGGAACTGTTGAAATGTAAAGGCCAGCAATGAGAGCACCATAATTCTCCCACAACAGGTTTAGACCTCATGCACACTAGCAGGCTATGTTCAAGCCCAGCAGAAGTTATCTACTAAGTATAAGCAACTTTATGCTTCCCAGATATTTGTTTTTCTGTGCTGGGCTTAGTCGCATTTACACGCATTTAGCAGCATCAAACTGGGCTAGTCAGACCCGGAAGAAAGACATTTCTATTTTGGGTAAACAAAATAGAAGGCACCTAGACGCTGCTGAACACCTAGGTGTGCATTCAGTCATATAAAAGCATTACTTGAGTCCAGGTGCAATTAGAAATTAACTCCAAAAGCACCTAAACTCAACGTTTTGGTACGTATGTGTGCATGAGGCCTTATTTGAAGAAGAATCTGTCATGAAGTATATAAATAAGCTGTTAAGGAACCCAGCGTTCCCTGACTCGTGCATCATTCTCATATCTCTGACACCCCATTTCCAATACCTTCCCTCTATTTTCAAGTGCTACAACCTTTGTTAGACTCCTCAGCATTCAATACTTCAGGAAGTATTGGGTGCCTGTGCCCACTTCCATAGTGTGGTTCCATCCTCTTACAAGACACAGCAGTGATGTAAGGGTGGGAGGATGGAACCACGTCATGCAGTGGGGGGCACAGGCATCAGACACTAATGGAAGTGTCAAGTCTTGTGGAGTGGCTACAATTCTGGAAGAGAGGAATGGAGATGCAAACAGCCGAAAAGTAAATATAATAGCTGTTCTATTGCAGGAATTTAGATTTTATTAGGTGACAGACAAGGTCTTTTTAGGAGTTTTTACTGTATCATATAATACATTAGCATGCATTCCAGAAAAACTGAGTAATAGATAGACTAGATATTCAAATGGTCCTCATTATTCAGTACATATGAAACTCCAAGAGAATCAAGAAACCATTTCAGCACAATGCTAGGTGTGGGAGTTCTGTGTGGGTGTCCTGTGTGGGTGTCCTTCCATTATTTCATTGTGATACTGTCACACCAAGTAAGCGACCTTTTTCTAATGTGTGAACAGCTGCTAAATTTCTACTTCTAAATTATATTCTACATTAGCAAATGTCTGGTCTTCTTTTTGAGATAACAGTTTAAGAATGGAACTACAAATTAAAGGTGAACACAATATTCTTACCCCCATCTAAGCTTCGGGACATTGTATAACGTTTACTTGTAGAGCGTTCAAAATAGGGTGCAGGCCGATCAATAAGTGCACTTGCCCTTCTTGTCTGAGCTTGTGTCCGCCCACTGTATCGGAACTTGGACCCTAAGGTGAGGAACTTTTTAGGCGGTGCTTCCGGTGACATCAGCCTATAAATATGAATATACAGATATTGCATATTACAAACATAGTCAGTAAAATAGTTTTAAAAGAACAGCTTCCTAAGAGATTTGAATGTAGTGAGTGATGCTTTATGAAATGGGCATGAGCTATCTAAATACAGGTAGATTTGTGGCAGTTGGAGTTAGAGAGCAGCTTAAGAGGTTAATTCATATTATAATAACTTTGTTAAACAGTTGAAATGCAAGGTGAGATAAGCACTGGGTAGTGTCAAAGAGGTTTGCATTAAATCTTAGCTTTACCTCTGACACTTTGATTAAAGCCCATCTCCAGCCACTTTTTTTTGTGTGTTTTGGATGGATTAAGATTAGAATTTCTGTCTAGTTGTTATTTCTGTCCGAGGCCCCATTGGGGATTTTTCCCCATTCCCTGCCAATATGGGGTGCACTTGTTTCCGGGACAGGAAGGCAAAGACAGAAATAAACACAATTGTCAGAAATTCTAACAGCTTACTTCAGTGGTCACAGCCCAGCGGTCCTCGACCATTAACAAGCGCAACACTATGTGCACTGGTGACGGTGGATGTGCACTGTTTTTATTAGGGATGCTCAGAGTACCGATACTTTTTTCAAGTACTCGCCGATACCAATTACATTTTTTCTAAAGCAATACAAAATCATGATTTTAGGTCAGTTTCTTGATATTATGAAGAACATGAATATTTATCATGCCATTGCTAACTAAGGCTTGTATCCCCCTAGTGGGGAAAATAGATGAGCACATGTCCAGACTCCAGACCAGAACACTGTATAGTATAGTGTGGCACAGCTATAGCCAATTCTGCATATATGTCTGGACATGTGCTCATCTATTTTCCCCACTAGGGGGATACAAGCCTTAGTTAGCAATATCTACATAGTAATTTCTTTATTTAATGTCTTTTAAAAAAAATCTTATATGCAGCTAAACAGCATTTTTGTGCCCAGCCCCCATGCGGTGCTGCAGTACTAACCTGCTGTGTCTTCTCCGTCTGCTTCAGCCACTCCGTGTCACAGCCTAGTCATCTGCTCCATTCTGACCTCTTCTCCCGCTGATTGGCCGATTGGATGATTGACAGACTTCCTCACCAGTCACTCCTGGCTCGTTTTTTGTATCAGAGTATTTGCACGAGTACGAGTACTCATGCAAATACTCGGTATCGCCGCCGATACCGATGCTTGTATCGGTATCGGAGCATCCCTAGTTTTTATGCGTGTGTTTATGTGAATCTGGACATACAGACCTGCTTCCTGGCTACTCTATCCCCTTAAAGGGAGCAAGCAAATTCTGACCTTGCGGTCCAATATTTGAGGAGAGAAGCAGATCACAGAGAGGGGAGTGGCCTTTGCAGCAGTTGTTGGTGTATGGAGTCATGGAGAAATCACCTTATAATGCTTATTGGATTAGATTAAGCATAATATATATTTATACATACATACATACATACATACATATACACATACACCACACGCACACACTTGCACATATTGAGTGCTGGCAGGCTTAGAAATAGGAAAATAGAAATAGGAAATTCACATACAACACAGAGAGGTTTATTGTTGTAAAGAAACACATTGTAAAAAATTCAAACATGACAGGAAGTGAGGAGAAATCTCCCAAATAGGGAAAGATGACAAAAAAGAAATAAATTACTGTATCTAATCCTTCCCTGTTCTGTCCAAAACAAAACAAAACAAAACATTTTTGGTTGGAATTGGACTTTAAAGGCAGCCACCCCCCCCCCCCCCCCCCCCCC